CCATCTTCTGTGCCAATCATCTTTCCATTAGTATTCATTTATCTCTTTATAGCTTACTCCCTCTTGGCCTCAGGGAGGTCTCGCTCCCTATTTTTCTCCCATTGTTTTTTATCTGCCCACATCGACATGCTTGGCAACCTGCCACTCCGTCACATCTCTCTCTCTCTCACTAACACACACGCACTAAAAGCCTATCAATTAATGGTCTGCTGCACAGGGACGCACAAACACGGACAGATACACTCCCCCCATATAAAGGAATGTACTGTAATTGGCATGTGTCCTCCATATACTTTATTTAATTATTTATTTTGCTGCGACTTCATTTTGCTAACTCGTGTTCACCAGCTTGATTCACTTTAATTGTTATTTAACAAATGGCACAGATTATAGCATTCCTTTGATTACACAGACAACAACATTGTTCTTCAAATGATAGGTTTATTTTGCCGTGGCACCGTCGCCTGGTTTGATGAATAGAAATAACATGCCGATTGAACCCTCATTTGAATTAAATGATTGCAAAATATACTTTTCATCCCTAAACACGCTGCCGCGTGACAAAGATGCTTTCGATTATAATTCTTTGATTCTCTAAAAGTTTCTAGATGATTGTTTTTGGGCAGTGCATCTGGTTTCATTCAAACCGCCCCCTGCTGCTGAAGTTCATTTTCTGTCTTTGTGTTTCAATTGGGTGTGTAGCCATCAAAAGGACACACTTTTTTCCAATCTGCAAGTGACAGACTTATTTCTGATTGATGGTTTTGCTCAAGTAGAGAGAAAAAAGTGAAAAAGAAGAATAGAAGGACAATTAAATAGATCAGATTGAGTATACTTCACTAAAGTTGTTGTCTTGCTGCTTGAGAGTTTGTACAAGAGCCACTTGATATTCACAGGTGATAACACTTCACATAAATAGATTGTTTTATGCAAAGTTAGGAATGCGTGTGGTATGGCTGTGTATACCATTACTTTAAGATTACACTAATATAAGGTATTAGCCACACCACTCGCCCCTAATTTGACGGGAGAAGATATTTCCTGTCTCAATTGGCACCCTAGTGGCAGTCACAATGCACTTTCAATTTGTAAGCAAAATATTGTCAATTAGAACATACATGTAAGGCTTGTTTAGTTACGATGTTAGGGGGTTATACACACGACACTTTCTTGTGTTTAATAAACACAATCTCATGGCAATTCATTTACATTTTGGCGAATTGGTGACTTTTCACATAATCTACTTACTTCCCACCAAAGTTTGGTATAGGGGTGGACATTTATGTGTACTTGTTTCTTTCTAAAAATACATTTTCGTTCTTATCACATTTTACAAATTCATGTGAAATCGACACATGGTGAAATAGTTGTTTTCTCAGCATGAGATTGGGTTGGTTTATCTTGAGATTGCTAACATCTCTATCTTCACAAAATTTAAACCTTCTTGACCTGAACCTTACGTATAAGCAGAACCACCTCTGCAAAAGCAAGCACATATCAGATATGCAATATGATGATGCACTCCAGACTCCTTATATGTGACTACATGTAAGAGTGATAACACATGGCTTCTACTGTGGGTTTGATGGAGACCTGTTTCATTGGGTAGAAACACAGTGTAAATCGAGTGTGCAGAGCAATTTAAAAAGTGCCTTCTCGCACAGGCTGACACTGCAGTGAGGGGATAAAATATAATGCAGACCCTGGAGCGCTTGGCAGCACTGCGATAGAAGTGTCAAACACGCTTATGAGAGAGTTTTTACTGCCTTTCTAGCCCCCGCAGTCAATGCAGACAGACACTAAAGGATCCACCAGCTTGTGTTCCTATTGTGCCTCAGTGGGACTCGGCTGTCAATTCATCAGAGATATAAATATATATACGTCCACAAAAGTGCAACAAGAAGTGGCTTCTGCTCAGTCTTCAGTGGTTTCGTCAGATGAAGGCGTAGCTGGTTGGAAATACATTAGACGGCTGAGTGCACAACATACGTCTTCCTAATATCACTTCATTAGGGTTGCATCAAACTCTTCAACTCCATGGTGATCTAAACTAACTTTTATACCTTTTAACCAGCTGTTTCACAAAATTAGAGAAGCATTAACTCCCACACCTTTTTTAAGGTAAAAATAACATACCCAAAGTAAAATGTGTGCAGTTCTTGATTAATTGGTTAAAATGAATAAAAGTAGTGTAATGTTTTTTTGAAAAAAGTATCATATATTAGCCGCAAGATCACGCCAAGCACTTTGAGAAATCAGGAATGGTGGGAGGCTATTGTGCTTGGTACGTCTTCAAATGGAACTTGGGTCTCCAGCCAACAAAGTTTAGATACCATATGGCAAGCGCGCTTCCCATAATTACGCATTAAGTCAGTATAGGCGGAATGAATGCGGCTTTTTGTGGCTGTTCGAATGCATTCTACTACATGAATAAAAAAATAAAAAAACAACTCAGCAATGCTTCTTCAACTACTTCTGGAAAGCAGTAAGTCCAAAGCATTTTAGACCCCATTTTTTACCAATTGACCAAAACACATCTTAATACCAGGTGTAAACATGGCCTAAGAGCTTTATACAGCGTTTGACAGGGGATGCCATTGAAAACACTGTTAGTCTATCCCTCATAGCCTCGCCATGGCTCTGCTCTGAATAAGGTTCATTAAAGGTTGTATCAGCGATTTCAGGCCCAAACAAAAATTATCACATTCATCTAATCTTTCCTAACAATCCGCTAGCTGGCCACCCCATAAGCAGGCTGTCAAAAAAAACACGTCTCTGTAGGCAGTCTAGGCTCTGAGATCTGCAAAATCAGGGGCAAAATCAAATGTGTACAACCACCAATCAAAATAAACAGTATTCTTCTAACCAATCACCGACAGGGCATGTGTTTTGTGTTTTTGCGCTCGTTCACGGCGCCTGCACACGAAGTCGGAGCTGAAGAATAAGCCAGCATCTACTGTTTAACCCTATGCTACCAACGGACCAGATACATTTAACATGGAAGAGGCAATCCCCAAGTAGAGAAGGAGGATTAGGGCGAGGGAATACCGTCGTTTTTCGTCAAAGAAACGAATAATAATCGGTAAGGCTTTTGAACGGTGGAGAGAACTCAAAGAATTGAACATTATTAAATTGGACGCCGAAGTTGCACTGTTTCTTCTGGACAGGTGAGTAGCCTCTAGTGCTGACTTTTTTGTATGTGAACTGTGTGTGAAAATATAATTCTTTTAAAAAATATGAGTGAAGCTCGACTAAACTTGGATAGCTCTAGCGTAGGGATTTAGTGTGTGAGTTGCGTTTGTCATTTGTGTCAACTTTGATATGTAGCCATAGCATTGTACTTTTAGCAATAACACCAGCCTATGTTCAGGACTAACTTTAGCCGAATAATAATAATAAGCTGTTATGATATTATTCCAGATAGCTGTTGTTACCATGCGTTTTCCCCATAACGTTAGATCTGTAGATATGACTGATTCTGGTACGATTCTGGTTCAGTGAAGCACCAGCATACTAGCTGTATGATAATCCAAAGCAGCCAAGTTCACATTTTACAGCTCACAGAACGAGCCATCATTGAGTAAGACCGTCAATCTGAAAATAGTGTGTTTTTGTCACTTTAAGAAATGCGAGGGACGAGGGCGAGCTAACTTGGTTTGTTTGGGATCTCGCTTCAAACTCAAACAGAAGTGACATCACCCACAATCGCTGATACAACCTTTAAATGCATTTTGAAGAGCTAATTCAGCTTGTCTCGATCGCAGTGATGAACTGATGCTGTACAGTAGCAATAAAGTATGTAGATCACAGTAGTCTGCTGCATTATACACAACAAGCACAGCATGCAATGTTTTTTTGTTTGTTTTTTTCATTACTTTATTTCACTTAGTTCATTAACAATTAAAAACAATGCACACAAATAAACATCTCTGTTAGTGGGAACTTTTTTTTTTTTTTGTGGAGAATTCGCCCCAGAGTTTATTCCAGCAAGTCATTTCAGTAGGGCTCAGCTGGTTAACTTCAGGTCACACCGGGCATGGAATGGAAGAAACTGATCTTTATACTCAGTGCAGCTCTGGATGGCTTATAACACCCAGAGGCAGGGGGAACTAATGCGGCGTGACCCTAAAGTCGTGTATACATACACCAGAGGAATTAAAGAAACTACCCAAGAGCAAGAACGGCCACGTTGCCAGTGAGATTAGCCCAGCAAGCTTTTATGCGCGCATCAATGTAAGCAAGAAGATGGCAAAACAAATAAATAAATGCTGCAAAATAGAACATTTTTTGGTGTTAAATCTGTAGAAATTAAATGCTAATGCCTGCTCTCTCGCTCTCTCTTTGTGGTCTCTGTTTTATTCATACCTTCTTCTAAAAGCTGGGCTTGTTTGCCATGCTGGGATCATTTAAAAGTATAATCTATTTGTAATGAAGTTGGAAGCTTTGATATGATGCTGTGAGTTGGAATGAGCAAACAGTGAAGAGAACACTGTTCTGTTTTATATGAAATGTGTACAGGAAAGTAACACTTTCTCTGCCCACATCAAGGCATGTGCTAAACCAATTAATTTCTGGTAAAATATGGTGAAAGTGAAGGGAAAGAGTGGAATAATATGCTATTATGTCATAAACGTGGAATTTATACGGCAAAATATTGTTGAAAATCACATTCTCCAATATAAAAGACACCAGAGGAATTAAATTATATAAAAAAAAAACACATTAGCTGGACCTTCCTGAAAAAAACTGTTTTTGAGCTAATAATGTATGATACCAATTTCATTGGAAAAATGTTACCTTGACAAATTTATGGACATCTCACTCTTTTAAACAGATTTCAAGAGTTACATGCCTATCACGAAAGTAGCTGCCTGGGAGGGGGTTTCCAAAACAGCCACGAGTGAAAAAGGGAGTTTTGTCATAATCTGTGAATAGAAACTGGACTTTCCACCTGCAGATATTCTTTGAAAAAAAATCTCAAGGCACAAGATAACTTGTAGGTTATCGCCATATTTGCTTTTCTCTCGGGAAGAAGAAATAGTGTTTTTCTCTTTTCATTCACCACATTATCTGTTTTAATTTCACAGCTGTCATGTTTTGAGTTGAACCAGAGCTGTTAGGATTAAGATGAATGCATTTGGATAGTTCATAATCCGGAACTGAGACCGGGCAACAGGGCAGAACACACCTGTCGTGCAGCCTTCACATTGGTTTGAGGTAACCACTTCCTCTTAGATATATTGAGAAAATAAGCCAGAAAAACCTAACTGTCAAACCAAGGGCCCTCACACGCTGAAAAGATTTTATACGAACGCAGTTAGCCTCACAAAATATCCACAGCCTCCTCAAGGAATTCCAAACCCACGTTCTGCTGCATCATTCAGGTAAATTACCATGACGTCTTAACAGAGTAAGATTTTTGGTGTTATTCTTTATTTAAAAAAGCTCTGCACAGGTTCCAAAAACTGTAAATGAGATGCAAGATACACTGAAATTTAAGATGAAAGTTCCTGTTAATTTGAATAAGTTTATGTCTAGATGTATAACAGGAAAAGCAGGTTGAAGACATTCTTTTCATGCCAACATGACAAAAAAATGTGATAGAATAGAAAGGGGGAAAAATGTTTAAATTACTCTTACTATAAGAGGTATATAGAAAATAACTTTGAGGGAACCTTGCCAGAATGTTAGCCAAAGTTCTGAGAATGTTCCCTGATAGTTGTGAATGTGCATTAAGAAAGTAAATAAGGTGAATTGTGATTTCATGTTGACTCTAATGTTAAATTAATATCTCATTTTCCCTGCAAACTGCATACAGAAATGGTAAAACATCTCAGCCTTCTGTTTTCCATCTTGGTCATCGCCATACAAACATTAAACACTGAAGAAGAGCTGAAGGAGACTGGGTTTGGAACTCCACCACCCCGACACGGACTTGCTCTAATTGAGTGGTATGTGAAAAATTGCATTGACAATAACATGGTGGCTCTCTGCAATCCTGTGGCTGGAGAGTTTGGGTTCCATGTGTTTCATAACAGCGGGTTCCTGCTCCCTCCTCTGAAGGACAAACGAACATATTCCTACTTCACTATAGGAAACCTTCACTCCCCACACTCTGAGGATCTTCCCTATGAAGTAAGGAAGTACTATGATCCAAATGATCCAGTGAGCAACATGGACAGGGTCATTGTGAAACTCAACAGGAACAAGAACAAAATCGAAGAGATCTACATATCAGAGCACTATAATCCTCCTAGAACTTTTCATTTAGGAACTTCTCTCATCGATGACTTACGATGGCACCAGAACTCAACGCAGAAGGTTTTCCCAATAATCTCTCAAAACATTTTTAGCTGAGATGTTCTATTACAAAATCACTGTATAGTAGCTGCCACTATTTCCCCACAGCAGATGCCTTTTGCACTTTCAGTTTACTACTTTCATTTCTTCTTCTTTTTTTCCTTTATACCAATATTATACCACTTCTCAATTTCCTTCTCTTCATCACATGTCATGAAACAATTTAGAAACTTCCTCCATGAAGTTGAGCATGGACTTTGAACCTGGGTAATTGTATTCCTTATGTTTATTAATGCAAATGCAACACAATTTCCCTTATACAAAATAAAAAATTAAGACCTCTGACAATAAAACGTTATGCAGCATTTTTACAAAATGTAAACATCATTATAAGGGAAAATATCCCTTGAAAAAAAAACGTGTTTATTGTGACGTAATGATGGATGTAAACTGTCTAAACCTCACATGATTCAAGAATTGCAACACATTCACTAAATAGCTGGATAAGCTTTAAAATGTGAATGGACAGTTAAAATCAGGGAAAGGAGTGGACATTACAATAGTTAAATCAAAGATTTTGATATTAGGATGAAACTAATGATGTAAGAATGTGAACAAAGCAGCGCTGCCACCAAAAACCAGGAGTGTTTATAGACATAGCTACTGAATAGAAATCAGAATCTATATTCTGAAATGTGATTGTGTCAATTATATCTCATTACTGTCTGTGCTTCTGCAATTTACAATACATGGCCATAGGACAACAAACCTATAATAGTCTTCTTTTTCATAAGTCAAGAGATCTAATATTAACAGCTGTCATAAACACACCACAGACCATTTCTTTGACAAACTCTTTATGGCACTAGACTGTACAAATGACACGCATAATTGCCTTAGTATTACTTTGTGTTAAGATTAGACAATACTGTATCAATGGTGTTATTTGTATAAATATATTTAAACTGAAGAAGAGTATTCAGTATGTGCATCTAAACGGTGCTGGTTAGGCTACTACTAGAGTCAATTAAATGTCCATAAAATAATTAAAACTGATCACTCTGCGATTCTGACGGGATTAATGTTCAATTTACTGCAGCAAGAAGAAAACGCTGTATTTTCCCCCATAATTTCAGAATTTCGAATTGCCTGCATGCTTCCGTATTAAGGCCCTTTCACACAGAACACGGCAGTCACGAATGTCAGTTTTCAGATGTGTGGAAAGCAGCAAAACACAGGCGGTTTCACTGGTGGCGCAGAGGCGCTCTTAGCAGCATGCGCCACCAAAGATACAAATATTTTATCTTTTTGCGAGTGGCAGCTGAATGTGAATTGAAATGTAATTTGAATGTTAATTGATTGTTAATTGAATGATAATTGAAATGTGAATTGAACTGAATCGAATGTGAATTGAATGTGAATCGAATGTTAATTGAAATGTGAATTGAATATGAATTAAATGTGAAATATAATATAATATAATATAATATAATATAATATAATATAATATAATATAATATAATATAATATAGACGTATCAATGACCAGGGGTGCGTTTCCCGAAAGCACCGTTAGCCGGTCGAAAGTTCCGTCGTTATCAGCATAGTTCAACGAGTCGGTGTTTCCCGAAACCATCGTTCCAACGAACATTTGCAAACAGCATCGCAAAGTTGTGTGGTTTGAAAGACAGCTCTGTGGTTAGAGGCATAGTTTGAAAGACCTGTGGTTAGAGGCACAGTTTCTTTATTGGATGACATTTAGAAGTAATAAATCCTTATCTTGAGCAAAATAAGCAAGCTGACATTCAGTACAACCGGTGCCTTTTATTTAGAATACATACAAATGTAATTTATGTCAAGATTTAAAGTACCGATTTTGAAGAGTGCGCATGTGCGAACATGCTCTACTATGTAAGAACAAGCCAAATATTGAGTTTGGTAATAAAGCAAAATAACTGAGAACAATTTGAAATAGTCCTCAGATGACATGTCTGTAATTTATATTAATAAGTCTAGTGTTAATTTGATCTCAAACAGTCAGACAATGGGTTTCGGGACACAGTCGCGACTAGCTAGTTAATTTCTCCAACGATGCATCGTACTATGGTAGTGAAGCAGCAAGTTACATAGTTGTACGGGAAACGCACCCCAGATCGATGATTGGTTAAAGCTGCCACTGTCGCTCACAAATCTCACAAATGAAAAAGCCAAAAGAGCCGTGCTTGTGAAAGCGGGAGGATTTTGGGTGCACGAGAAGCGCCAAGGTTTTCCTGCTTTACCATCTCTTATCTTTTCTGATGATGAGTTTACTGCAAGGTGTGAGGGCGGATCAACCTGTCACTCACATGAGATCACAGCATGGATCTGATGGACAAAATCAAGTTCCCTCCTACATTTTTTCTTGTTCGCAAAGCGTTTTACTAAGATAAGCATCACAATAAAATGAAGCCTACGGTAAACATAACTTGATATTTTGACATTTTTCAACGCAAACTGCACACTCTCCAAAACTATCTTATGTTACTTATTAGAAACATTTGAAACCAAGAATAAACATAACTACTTCAAAATGCGCTTTTTCGGTATGGGTGTGTGTAACTTACATTGCAGAACAAAACGTTAAAGTCTCGTCAAGTTATGTTTCCCACAGACTTTATTTTACTCGTAAGATACCGGAGGCGAAATTAGTCTTCTGGGTTCTGAAGTAATCCCTGCACCACTCTATAGGGAAGAAAAGATTATATACTTGCGTTTCATGCCGACTTTAAATGCTCACTATAGCCGCCTGTCAAAGACTCTTGTAAAATGAATTGGAATTTAATGAGATGTGAAGATCCAGACTTAAATCTAATGTTTCACTCAGTCTGACCATGACAAAGAGATGAGATTTTTTTTGGCTTTTTATGCCAGTTCTCGTCTTTCTTTTTCTTTTTTACCATTTTTCTGTTCGGCAATAGGGGGGAAGTCAGGAGCGCTTTGACAGAATTCTAAAGTAGCAGAAACAACAGATGTCTTGGGATGATTAATGTGCCTCTCCTCCTCTCCACTGAAGAGCAGTGAGTATGTGCCTCTGCAGAGTCCCTCCCTCCCGTCCCCTAGAGTCAGGGCCACCCTCCAGCTCTGCGTCTTGCTGCCCATCTCGCACTTAACCCGAGAGATCATGAGACGGTGAGCTGCAATGAGCCAGTCAACTGAGAGAAACAATAATGTGCCATCTGAAAATATAACGCCCGTGATCGTCGAGGGCAGGATAGCTCACTGGAGACAGGGTTTTAGATGAAGGGCCTCTGAGAGATGAAGTGATTCTGTGAAGATAATGAGCTATATTAAACAGCACAGTTCTGTTTTCTTGTAGTGGGTTATAGTTTGACACCTTTGTAGTGGTCTTAAGGCAGATGCACTTGGTGATCAATGGGCTTTGGTCGGTTAAGGAGGAGTTTGGAGGGCAGGTTTGTATGCTCAGGGGATTACACCTAAATCCCACAGATTGAGATGGGCAGGAAGATGAGCAGAAGCCAAGTGTGACTGTTTCTAGTGGTCAGGGATGTTAAAGCTAATAACGCACACATAGAGCAATCCTGCCCCCTTATGGAAGATGGTGGATGTGCAATTTCCCCTCACTGGCAGACAGTAAACCTGCATCAGGTTACTTCTGTAGAATATAGTAGGGATGATATGCATACTTCTCAGAATGCGAAAACAGTACGTCCAAATTCACTGTATTCATTGAACAGAGGAATGATCTGGCTGAGCATCGCGCTTGCAACAAGGTCATAGGTTCGATTCCTAGCGAGTACAACTACTAACATTGCGACATTTAATGCAGTGTTTTTTTTTTTTTTTTTCATTTTCTAGAGCAGGGGTTTTAATTTTTTTATGTTCCACGAACCCCCAATTATTATCATCCTCATGCGAAGGAACCCCAAAATTGTCCTAAAACTGAACAGACATCTATTTGGAAAATATTTTGTTTATATTACAGTTTTTTTTTTTTTTAATTGCTTAACCAAATCAAAATACTAGACACAATTACCACAACTTTTTACACCAAAGCAGCACAACACTTCAGATCATTTGCAAAATGTAACACTTTTGTCAAAATTATACACGACTTCATAAAAACAATATTTTGTTATATGAAACACACACATTTAATATGACTTTAATCCTTCTGAACCAGTTACACACTGCTGTTGCTAACCTAAAACACGTTTAGCGAGTCTAATTCTCAGTGATTAGACTAGTATACTGTAATTGAAGTACACAGAGAGTGCAACTTTTCAATAGTTCACCAAACACTACACAAGACCAATGCTGCAGACTGGGGAAAATATCATTGATTTCTATTTCTATCATTGATTTGGTAATTTGACAGTCAGTGCTTTGGAATTGCAAGGAAGTGACATTATTATATAATTCTCTGTCTGATGTATACAAGTGTGTTTAGTGTTTTGCAAATAGTGTGAATCTGACAATGTGCTTGCAGTTGTGCAAATCTAGCCTTGTGTTTGAGTGTAAGGTTTTGCTAATTGTTTACTTTTAGTGTGTACGCAACCGTAACTGTAACTGTAACCATAACCGTAAAACTGTGTTTATTATATTGTTTTTCTACTTTAGTGCTGTACTGTTTTACTAATTTTATATATGTATGTATATAAATACATAACTATTCTCTCTGTCTCATGCAGTTTGAAAACCTTTCTACCTATTAAATTGTGACCACTTGACTATGGTATTAGACTGGTATTAAATAATGCTTAGCTTTTACATCAAAAATTTTATTTTAAAATTGTGCTTTTAAACATGAATTCAGACATCTCTGGATATTAAAAGGTTCTAGTCCAGCCCTTATAATCTCCCATTTATTATAATACACAGGTCAGGTGTATAGATATATCTACCAAAACACTCGGTTTTCATCAGCAGATGTTGTGACAGGTCAACAAAACTGAACAAAAGGGCCTGAAACTTAGTAAAACGTAGGTCATGAATCACAATTATAGATAATGAGTCTGTTCAGAAAGGAATTACATTGAAGAATGGGTGGGTGGGTGTCAGTGTGTGTGTGTGTGCGTGTGTGTGTGTGCGTGCGGCCTCAGTGTCATGTCAGGAGCAGACACACACGTCTCAATAGCCAAAATCCTAACTCATACCATCATAAACAGCGTTGTCTCCTCCTCTACGTGGCAGAAATGGGCCTGAGGCAACGAGCCCAGAAAGCTGATGATGAAGCGGGCTGCCAGGCTTGAGTGTCCCCCGCCAAAGTGTTTCAGGAGGCAGTAGTAATTGATCGGCCAGTAGAAGAGCACGAGTGAAGGAGATGATGTCTGGAGAGATACCAGCCTTAGTGTCTAATGGGCCTCATCTCTTCTCACATGTGCAGGCTCATTTTTCTTCACCACTTCTCAATCTATCTGAGCCACATTTAAAGAGGAATCTACGTTTGGATCCCTCTTTTCTTTAAATTCAAGACTGGAGAGTAGTGGATAAGAAATTTATTATGAATTATATTTTTTTCAAAAAAACTCAATTAATTTAAAATATAAATTAATTATATATTACATTCAAATTATTGGTTGACTATACTTTGAATCCACTTGGACAAAATTTTGGTTGAAATAATCTCCCTAAAAACATAAATATATCAATATGATAAAGTTCATCTACCTTGGAAGGACAACACTACAGCATCTGACAAACTGGTTATCAATCCGTTGGATTTGCTTGACAAATTAAACTCAGAGCCATTGCAATCTCCAAAAAAAGCTGAGGCTGATGAAATGCATTCCATGTGGCTTTTAAATATATAAATTTGCTAAAGGACGGTCAATGCTGAAATACAACTGAAGGTCAGTCCAATTATCTGTAATGGAGCCCCTCCCTTTCAAGATGCACACCCCACCAAAATATTAACAGGGCCTTACATGAATATGAATTACAGTGAGGGTGGGGTGGACAGGGTGATCCTGTCCTGATCCTATCAGTGAGTACACCAGCATCCCAATGTCAAGCCGACGGGAGAGGACACTGCCTTCATTAAGGTATGGGTTTGGTGGACGATGGGGGCGCATTTACATGAGAAACGAGAGACAAGGGAAGCATTCACATCCTAATCACTCATTCACTTATCTCATTCAGACAGAGTCCGATAGAGCTCTGATGACACATGGGTCACGGTTAGAATGCATTAAGCATTCATTTAGAGAAATCTGAGACAAAACATGAGCGTGAACACTCTTAGATATTCTTGTTTCTGTATTCCCGGCAGGGATTTGCTGATTGTCCCATTCAGGCACCCATCAGGGGGCTAATGCAACTAAAATGACAAGGCAAATTATGTGCAATGGATTGAGCTT